TGTGAAAGACTATGGTGTGCCTTGTTCAATTATTCTTTTGTAGATCTTGCACATTTCTTATATTGTTAGGCCTTATTAATATTAATTTTGGTGGCCGTTATAACTGAGAATATTTTGCATTAAGCCTAACTGGCTGTTTGTGTATATAGGAAAGATATTTTAATTATGTTCCCAATTTACTGAATTTGTTTAGTGTCTGTAATAGTTTTTCAGTTTATTATCTTGCAGTTTCCAGGTATTCAGTAATCTATAAATAATGGTAATTTTACCTTCTCTTTTTCCAATTTTTAAACATTATTTTTTTCATTGCATGTTTATATATGGATGTCTTAGTTTTTTTTTTTTGTAAATCATTAATTTTTACCTTTGTCTTATTATTATTATTATTTTTTTTTAGAGAGAGAGAGAGAGAGAATGAATTTTTTTAATGTTTATTTTTTAGCTTTTTGGCGGACACAACGTCTTTTGTTTGTATGTGGTGCTGAGGATCGAACCCGGGCCGCACCCATGCCAGACTAGCGCACTACTGCTTGAGCCACATCCTCAGCCCACCTTTGTCTTATTTCTTACCTTCAGTTTTTTTTAGATGTTCTTTCTTAAACTTTTTCAGTTTGATGTTAATTTTCTTGTGAGCATGGTTTTATCTTTATCCCAGAGCTCATGATGTGATATGTAGAATTTTCTTTATGGAAATTTTCTAGATATTCTAAAATTTCAGATTTCTTATCTGACTCAAATGAATTCCTTATTTCTTTTGGTCCTACTAAATATTTTAGTCACATTTTCATGAGAGTGTTTTCTTCATTGCTTCTACATTTTAGACTTGATTAGTTTTTCTTTCTGAATTAAGGCATGGTCAATTTTTTTTGAAAGTTCATACTGGAGTTTGATATTATCAAAGAAAACTTGAAGAAATATAAGTCAATTAATGGTGCATTGCTTACTTACATACAGTGGAAACCGTGTTTGCTTTCATTGAACAAAGGCAGAAGTTCCAGTTTGGAAACCATGAATTTTTTTTTCTTTTCTTTTTGAGTGAGCTGTGCAGATTAGTTGGCAGCTAACAAAGAGGCCAGTCAGGGCACTCTGATCCTAGACATCTAAGTGGATCAACAAGGAAAGTAATTTCCTTTTGTTCTTGATATAGTGACAGGCTGTCTGTGTCTGATGTCCTTTGTTTTTCTTCTTTGTTATGCCCAGTCTGCACCACTTCCCTTTTTAGACTTTCTCAACAGCTATCAATTTGACCTACCAGAAGAACAATATTAAGATTTTTATATCCTTGTTTTTTCGTAATTACTGATCTGTCACAGACTGAGATGAATTAGTTTTCCTACTATTTTTTCTTTTTTCTTATACTCCCTGTAGATTTTGCTTAAAATTGCTAAGTTATTTGACCCACAGCTATTTATAACTGCTCATTCTTACTATGAGTTGTACCCATTTAGGAGTGCTTTGTTTTGGTCTGATTTAATGTTTTTTGGCATGGATTCAGCCTTGTCTGTTAAGATCTTGATCCTTTCTTTGTTTGAATTTTTCTGGTATTTTACTCATCCTTTGATTTTCAACCTTTCTAAATCACTTATATTTTAGATCAAAGTCATACATAGATTTGAGCTTTGCTTTATGATTCAGTCTGAATTTTTTTTTAATTAGTTAAGTTAGTTTATGACTCAGTCTGAAATTTTTTCTTAGTAGTTAAGTTTAGCTCATTGATTTGTTAGTTTTGTCCCATTTTGTTAACTTTCAGTATTTATATCTTTAAAAATATTACTATATGGATAAGTTTATATTGTTTTTCTTTTAATGAGGAAGACTTGTATTTTTGTTTTCATAGTTATCTCTCTGTAATATCCTGATTGTACAAAAAATCCTGTTTTCTAGTTATTTAGCTACTACCTTCATATCTGTAATTCACTTTTACAAGTAATGCTAGAACAGTGTACTTCCTTATTTCTTTTCTGTAATTCCATTACCCAATTTTATTACTTCTGTCATCTTCCTTAGTGTTTACCCTTGTACTATTAAATATGCATACACTTTCATTACTTGATTTGTCATTATTTCAAAAGGCTTCCTGACTCTTATCTCCTCTCACAAAACTACAATACATATACAGCATTCGTCCTAAAATCAGCCGAATCGCACTGCAGATCCTCAGAAGTTTCTTTGATCCTCACAAAATCTTTCTCTTCTGGCTTTTGAAACTCTGTAACCCAGGTGGGCATGGTGGCACACATCCATATCCCAGTGTCTTGGGAAGCTGAGAGGATCATAGGTTCGAGGAGAACTTGGGCAATTTAGCAAGACCCTGTATCCAAAAAATAAATAAAATAAAAAGAACAAGGAAAGTAACCCAATGGTAGAGTGCCTCTGGGTTCAATCCCACTACTGCAACAAACAAAAAATACTCCATAAACCAGCCCCATGCCACCTTGTTTCCTCCACATTTTCTCAGCGAGTCTGTCCTTACTGTCCAACAGTTGGGTGGAGTATAGGAGGATGGATGAGCTTTAGCCAGGCTAGTGGGAGCTGCTTCATGGACATCACTAGGGTGATGCCTTCTCCTGTAGCTGCCCTGGGTAGTTGAGGCTTTTCTCTTCCTTGTACACCCAGCCTAAGTTCCTATCCATAAAGCCTTTAGAAATGTTTGAGAGCCCAAGAAACTCCTGAGAATTGGCAAATAACTTAGAAGTCATCCAGTCTCTTTTATATCCAGGTTTGAGAATTACTTTCATCCTGTTTCTGGTCTAAGTCAAGGACCTTTGGTGACTAAGAAGGAACCCAGGCACTCATTTGTAATATTCTGGCTTATTTTTCACCAAAATGTGAGAAACTTTTGACTACTATTTTTTTTTTTGAGAGAGAGAGAGAGAAATTTTTAATATTTATTTTTTAGTTTTCGGCGGACACAACATCTTTCTTTGTATGTGGTGCTGAGGATCGAACCCGGGCCGCCCGAATGACAGGTGAGTGTGCTATCGCTTGAGCCACATCCCCAGCCCCTTGACCACTATTTTAACTCAGCCCTTTCAAGTTATAAGACATCTTACCTGTAAGTGGGAAGACAGGTGTTTCATCTTCCCCTCAGTGGAAAAACTCACCAGTTCCTTCAGTTGTTTCTCATGAAACATCATTTCTATGTTTCTATGTATCACCATTTCTATGTATCACCAGCTTTTAGACACACTTGATTTATTCAATTCAGTTCATAGGATTATCTGGATACCATCTAATCACTACCAAATCCGATGGAACTATACCTTTCCAAGACAGCATTTGTTTCCTGCCCACTGTGGTGTTTGAGTTACCTAAAGTCCCATGAGCCTTTTGCCAGGCTGTCTATCACACAAAGGGCACAAGATGAGTAAGACTAAAGCCCACCTCTCAAAAGACAAATATTCATTCTATGAAATACCTGATAAATGATCCTCCAAACTATCAAGATCATCATCAACAAGGAAAGTCTGGCTAGCACAACCAAGTTACCTAAGACCTAACAAGTAAAAGTCACGGGATATCCCCAATAGGAACTTGGGACAGAAAAGGACATTAGAGGAAAACTAAGGAAATTTGAATAAATTCTGGACTTTAGTTAACAATAACCTATTTTTTTCATTGTGACAAATGGGCTACACCAATGTCAGACGAAAATAAGGGGAAAACTGGATTGGGATACATGAGAACTCTCTACTATTTTAGTAATAATTCTATAAATCTAAATGTATTCTAAAAGCCTTTTTTAAAAAAAGAGAACATTTTAAATTAGGAGAAAACTAGCAAGTAAACAGATAAGACAGTGGCTACTATTTTTAATCACTGATCCCTTTGAATAACTGATAAAAGTATATGGACTTTTATATATAAACTAAATACTATGGCAAGGTCTCATGGACTCCAGATTCTTCAATTCAGGATGGTAATGCTTCCCTAGTAGGCAGTGTTTGGGGAGTAAATATGAAGAAAAGTGGCAGTGGGGGCAGGCATCAGGTAGCAGATGTCCTTTCTATACAGTTTGAGCCTGATCTTTATGCTGTTGATGAGTATAATTTTTTTTTAATCTAAGGGATTTAAAAATGGATACTGAGTGATCCCTAAACCAAACATTAAACAGAGTTCCAGACACCATTCTAATTGCTTACAGTGTGCCTGTCATATTTATTAACCTAGATGTAAGCTGCTTAGAGCTGGAGAGGACAAGTCTCATATTGTGCTTGAGAGGCAGTTATCACCTTTTCATGTAGGGTACAGAATCACCTCAATGCAAAGTTTCTTGTCCTGGTTTTGAATGGTTGTTGCTTTTTTTCTCTCTCTCTTAAAATTCAGCCCTAAAGAACATTGCATATTAACTCTCAAGAGCTATTGTTAAACCCTGGCATTATGCCAGAGTAAGTGAAAATTCTTACAGGACTTATTTTTAAAATGTTTAGGGGTATAAATTCCTAATCCATTTGTACAAACCTGTTAGATTTTACTCTTTAAAAATAATTTACATCTACTAAGGTTTAAGTTAGATTAAGTAGAAAATATTTACACCCAGATAAACAGACCACTACTTAGTTAATTCTGTTGCCTCTCACATCCTTGATCATTTGGGTCCGTACTTTTCTTAAGAGTATTCTGAAACTTGTATCATTCTGTAACAAATTAGAATCTGCAGTACTAATTTTAAGATTAAAAGGCAACAGTGGTGTCAAATAAAATGCTCAGGATGGAATACATGATGGGTCAATTTTTCCCACCACTGTGGCTATATCCTACATCTGGATGACTTAGTAAATTGTGATTCTAAGTCTGACTTGTACAAAGACATGGCTCAATGAAACTGTAAATTACTAGTCTGTATTTAAAACAAAAACACCAAGACCATTTTAATGAAAACTAGTTTTATTTTAAAATTAAGTGCATAGCACTCATCTAATTCCACTGGTGTAGACTTTAGCACCATGCTCGCTATTTGCAATTAATATCATAACACAGATACATTTTGGTTTGCAGTCTGTACTTGAGTAGTGTTTATTTAGTGGACTTTGGTAAAGCCCTTGATACATATTAATCTCTTCACAGTACACATTAATGATGGTCCAGTAATCTCAAAAAACAAAAACAAAAAAACAAAATAACAAACAGCTTTAAAGACTAATCAATAAATTAAACAAAACAAAACCCACACAACTCCCCCACCCAACCCCCTCCCAAAGCTAACAGTTGTGAGTTGTATTTATATTGAAACCTAATGTTTTAAAAACACTTCTGGTTCTCCAACCACCCCACCCCACCCTGGGTATGCAGCAATAGTAATCAATTATTTTATTCTACCCCTCCCCAATTAATCCAGTGTTCTTTAGCTTTTTTAAATATAAATTGGGAAAAGTGTTAATAAGCTTTTAAAAAAGGCATATTCTTCTATAACAAGAATGACATACAAACCAATCAATAAAAGCATTTGACAAGACATTAAATCACCACAGGCACTGGTTGTTGTTTCAAGTTAGGATCTCTATCCCAATATCTTACATTCATAGCATTACTGAGGTAGTTAAAATACTGAAAATTGGACTCCAGGTTGCTGAGTTTGTGAATGTGAAAGATATACTATCTTTTGAACATATTTTCCCCCCAATGATTCAAGTTTTCTTACGGTAAGAACTACTAAACCTGCTCCAATTAGCAGCCTTTTTAGAGGAAAAATGATGATACTTTCAGAAAGCAATTTCCACACTTGAAAACTGCCATGAGCGAGTGTTCTTACCTGAGTGGTTTTTTAAATTTACCAGACTAATAAATGCACATCATGCCCTCTGTATCTAAATTATATAAAAGTTATTTTCCTTTTAAGGAAAGGACATTTCTCTAAGAATTCATGCTGGCAGAAGCCACCCACCCACACTCAACCACTGGAGCCATTTGGATCAGTCCTTTGCTGTGTTGAGCCCCTTCCCTTCCTCACAAAGGCCATTGGCTTGATTACTGAGACTCCTGCTGCATACCCACAACATCATTATGTTTGTCTTCAATGCACATTGTGGCGGTTGCATATCTGCCATGCAGATGCCCCTCTATTCAAGTGCTATCCTTAAAAAAACACAAATAGACACACCTTAATAATTTTTAAACCAGAAAGCATCCCTCCACCAAATCTCTCTTCTCCCACTAACAAGAGAGTAATGTATACAGTTTATTCACTATTATTATTTTTTACTTTTTAAGTTTATTCCCCCAAAACATTTCTCCCAAGTTGCCCTTGCTAACATGACTATTATTGTGTTTTCACTCATCATGAGTACAGTGAAATATGCCAGGGCAGTTGTGGGCCCAACCTAATGAAAGCAGCTACTGAAATTTAGAAATCAGTACTCTTGCCTGTTTAGACTAACTAGCTGGATTCCGTGGTTGCTTATAAAACCTGTCTTCCACATAACAAAGTGCTGCACTAGCACAACCTGAGTACTACCCTGGCCACTCCCCTCTCCAAAATAAATCTACGGGACTTTCTTCTAGTACTGATATTTTACAGTTATGTCTTCCTTTGAAAAAAACCTTTTTCTTAAGAGTATTCTCAAATCTGAATATAAATCATTGATTGCACTGAGAAATGCAAAACCTGTATACATATTATGAATCATAGGAACCACCACTTCATTCATTCTGTGCTACAATATTAAGTTCTCATTGGAAAACACATTTTAGCATAGGAGTATTTAACCTATGTTATAAAGGTAGTTCATACTATAACATTCCCAAAGCATGTTGCATTACAGTTAAATGTTTCCAAGTAGTACAAATTCCCTGAGTTAATGTGTTTTAATTCTAAAGAGTTGAGGCTGATCACTTAGGGGAAAAAACAAACAAGCAAGCAATCAAACAAAAGTTATGACCATGATTTTAAGACATGGGATCTACTCCACCCCTAAATTTAGTATATAAATTCAGATACCTATATTATTTATGATAGGAAGTTATACAGAATCATCTGAAAAAAATTTTTACTGCACAGATTGGTATAGCATATCAATTCATGAGTTTAACCTTAGTCAGAAATTAATCTGTAGGTAAAAAAACAGAACAGAACAAAACAAAACAACTCAAAAACTGCAGAATAAACAAAAGATCTCTTCAAAAATTAATACTGTAACTTTCCTTCATAGAAGACGGTTTGGCAAGTCCACAGATAATCATTAGTCTTTGACATATAAGCCAACATAAGGCCCAGAGCCTACCACAGGTCAAACCTCAAAATGGCAAATTGGAGTCTGTCCAAATTTGTTGTTGTATTGAAAATATTTGAAATATTTGGACCATCAGCCAGGCCTGAACATATCTGTCACACAGGATTTTGTAACAGGATTTGACACACACTATTAAGTGTTTGCTTAGTCCTCCTAGATATTAATGGTGCACTGAAAGGGATATTCAGTCTTCTGGTAGATCCTTTCCTTCTGAAGAGAAGTTTACAAAGTTTGTACCAGAGCTTCAAGTCACAAGACAGTCTGGGTTGGTTACTGCCTTTGCACATAATCACCTTTCAAAGCACGGGGTAATACAAGGATAATGTTCATTTATCTGGTAACTCCGGTTATAAGAAACACTCAGACAGGGTTTAACTTCTACTGGTATTGCTAGGGACATCCCAACACCAGTCTGTATGTGCCCAAGGCCCTGAACACTGGTTTGGAAGCCAGCAGGACATGTCTGTAGTGTGTAAGACGAGGTGTGTGTGGTAGATACAATCTGCTGACAGCTTGGTTGTTCTGATACAGGATGGCGATATTGCAGTGAGGTCTGCTGAGTCTGAGGGAGATACTGAGGTTGCTGAAAATGGACCGGCCGTGAGGGCTGGGAGGCTGTCTGGAACACACCTAGTTGTGCTGACTGAGGGCCTGCCTGTCCTCTCTGTTTGTTTGCTTCTTTTACATCATTATCATGAGCACTAAAACATGGAGGAAAAAGGAAACAATATTACTTGAGAAGAATCTGCAGGGAACTCCCACCTCCACCTCCTCAACAGCTCACTCCATCAAATGCCACCACTACACAGGCAGCAGTCATTGCACCATAATTCCCAGCAGCAAGATCTTCTCTGTACCCTCCTAAGGCTATTTCCAACTTGGGAGGTGTGTCCAAAATAAGCACTTAATTTTGACTGTGACTTTAGTAACACTCTGGTGAGCCCCAAAATTTGAAGTGGAAATAAGAATGGGGTAAGATTTACTTGGACTGATCTCAAAGTTATGGCCTATAGACATTCAAGAGCAGCTCCTTTCCCTATCATGTACCTAGAACCACAGTAGAAAGGGTAACTTCTAACTTACTAGAAGCCAAAAGGAGCTCCCCTTCTACAGAGTCCTGCTCATACAGTGGCTTGTTCTCATGGCAGCAAGCAGCTGTCAAGAGCAAGTCTCCTAAGAGCTCTGTGCCTTTGAGAACTTTTTTGGGGGGTACCTTACACATGAATAAAAACGTTAATGAGAAACTATGAACACAAGACTAAAAAGGCTTACATCAACAGTCGTTCAATACACTGCACTAAGAAATCCCAGGAGTAAGCAGTAAGACGATGCAGTCTTGTAGGCCACGTTGGAGAAAGACGAAGTATAATCCTCGAAGAAGCCACACATGCAGCAGCTACTAAAGAAGGTGCATAATTTAGAAAGGCATAATCTGTGGAGACACCAAAAATGAACTTAAGCAACAGAATACCAAGTTACAAGCACACAAGTTACTTACTGGCAGCCACAACAACTCACCTTGCAGAGATACTTCCAGGAAGTAATCTGCATATTTGGCCATGTAGAGTTTAGTTTTTTCCAAGCAAATCATTGGCCAGCCATCATGAAGATCTGTTTCATGTACTGCTTCTGAGAGATAATACTCGATAAAGTGGGCAGCTGTTGGAAGGCAGAGGTTCCACTGAAAGGTTTCTAATAATAATAGTTCCATATGTAGCAAATTTTGTTTTGTTAATACTAGATTCATATTAGTCATACAACCCAGACTGTTGAGCTGCTCCAGCTTAGGCACACTATCTTCTTTTTCTTCAAATTTACCTTTTAAGAAAAGGGGAAAGGTTGGGAAAAGTATTAGGTAAGAGATCATTATATGTCTATTCAGTTAAATGGATTTTCTGACTTACCATCAAGATTTAGACCAAAGACATTCTTTTCTCTTCCTTACTGAGATAGGACTGTGCCAGAATACTTTGGTTCTGTATTTGCATATGTACTTTCCTTCCCAGTAACACCATCTCCCATTTTCCCTATCCTCCAAAAAAATATGCATCAGGGGGTAGAGAGAGAGGAGGGGAGGGGAGGGGAGAGGTGGGGAGGGGGGAGGGTGGATGATGGGAAAGGCAGCGGAGCACAACAGACACTAGTATGGCAATTTGTAAATCAATGGATGTGTAACTGATGTGAATCCGCAATCTGTGTATGGGGTGAAGGTGGGAGTTCATAACCCACTAGAATCAAAGTGTGGAATATGATATGTCAAGAAATTTGTAATGTTTTGAACAACTCACAATAAAATCAAAAAAATATGCATGGAATACTTTCATTTGTATCCTACCTTGTAAAAAGAAAATAGTTATATATGCCAATGAGAAAAATAACTCAAATCTCACAAGCTGATTCTTTTCAGAAAGGATCCATTTTGTGGGCAGGTGATGGTTGGTGAAAGAAAATTATTTTAAGGTAGAAGCAGAGTAGAGTTTAAAGGACTTAATGTCAGAGCTTTTTAAGCTCAAGTGTCTCATTTTGGCATATTTTCAGCATAATCTCAATTCCAGAAAGAAATAAGAGATGGGGAGGTAGGGCTGGGTGAATGTCTAGCAAGCATTATCATTCCACAAAAAAACAAAAAACAAAAAAAAAAAACATCTATCCTCTTCTGAATTCTAGGCAAAAATCTAGCTAAGTCTATTTTAAAAGGAGGGGGAAAGGAGAAGATATTTTCTATCCTCTTTCAAATCCCCTTACTCAAAGCAGAATAGAAGACAACATGATAGTTGGATTTCATTATTCAAAGGCATTAATTTTTCAGGAAATATTCATCTATAAGGTTTCCACAATGAACAACTGAGGAATAAGATTCCATCTCCAGCCCAAGAAACACATTTCTACTAATTTCCAAATAAGCATTTTCCTATACATAAAGCATGCATTTTAGGTATTTCTAGAACTTATGGCTGGAGAATAGTCATGAACTATCACTTACTATTAAGATTTTTCAGATGCAGCAATAGAACCAGCGTTGTTTTCAAGTCTCTTTGGGTCTTATTCCTTGGTAGTTCATAAAACAGAAATAACTAAAGCCTTCTAACTCCCATTATTATGTTCTATTTTACATTAATGTTTAAAAAATATTTTGACATTTCAATATTTTGATAACAATTTCAATATATGTGGTTTCCTTGGAAATCTTATAATTTTATTTTATGCATTTAAAAACACTTTTGGAGAAGAGCCAGAAAAATTGCCAAAGTGAGAGAAACTAGAAGTTTCCTTGTCAACTTTCTCTTCTAGAGGGATAGGTTTGTACCACACATTAAAGCTGCAACAACAAATGGTAGGGACCACTCAGTGCAGATGCTCAAAGTATAGGCACCTGTATGGTAGCCAGCAAAAATTCACTCATGATGACCTATTCAGTGCTGAGGAAAAACTGCTGCTACATGCCTTTGATCTTTGCTTAGGCAGCAGAACTGGGGTTAAGTTCTGCCTCTGATGCAAGGAGATTCTAAGTGCCCATCTTGAGAAAAACCCAAGCCCAAAGGAGGAGAGATGTTATCTCTTCCTGCTCAAGAAAGTTAAATTGCTCTTTAACTAAATAAAGCTGAAGATAGGAGTTGATCTATAGCTTACATAATTCAGACTTTAAAATCTAGATAGTTCTTTCTAGTTCAAATCACATAAAGAAGACTTCTGCAAGTTTAGTATACACTTTGTATAATTGAAAACATCTTAGTGTTTTTTTAATATAGTTATCCACCACCCACTCAATAAAGTGAAGGAAGAAGACAGACTGTTCTCAGTGTTTTTAAAGTGAAATTCTTCAGAAGAAGAATGACCTAGGAATTTGATTCAAGCCCTCAGGATGAATCATTAAAGCTTTCAAAGCACCCTGCCATTTGTGTAGCAGCAGCCACACTGGCAGTATACTTCAAAGGAACATTGTAAAAAATTAATGAGTTTATTTATATCATGTTTGGAGTTCCTTTGAAGAAATTAATATACCATAATTCACAGATCAAGGATGTTTCATATTATCTCTTTGAAACTTACAACAGCAAAAATAAAATTGCAGCTGGGAGTGTAGATCAGTGGTAAAGTGTTTGCCTACCATAAGCCCTGGGTTTGGTCCCTAGCAAAGCAAAGCAAAGCAAGCCAAATAAATAAAGAAATAAAATTGCATAAGATCGATTTCACATCTCAAGAAACCAGGTAGTGAGGTTGGCCAATTCATTTAAGGTCAAATAAACTGATTTAAACAAAAAAAGGAAGCCAAAAGGAAGATTTATGTTTGAATTCCCAAATCTGAACCAAAGTACTGTACCAGATTTTATAGGGAGAACTACTAGAATGACAGATTTCTATATTTACATGTATAGAGTAAGTATTCAATGATTATAAATGTAAAAGACTTTATATACTGCTTTGCAAAGTTAAAAATAACTTGCATATTGCATATATAGCCACATTTAGAATTCTAATTCAGGTTAAGGAGTTTTGGAACTTTTTAATTATGTATAGTGATATAAGTGCTCAGCTTTGTGGACATTAAATTCAAAGAGTGTGATAACATCAATGAGTAACTGCTTTCATATCTATAGTTTTTATTATGCTGATGCTATGTGTGTGTACTTTAAATCTATTTACCTATCCATAATGCTACACACACATACAGTAAAAAGATCAGTTTCTTCAATTGAAAGGAAATACCAGAAGCCATGTGATTATATTGATAAAGGCCCCAAACAGGATATAAGGGCACAGGAAATTCATATCAGTTTCCCAGAAAATAAAGAATTAAGAGGCCACAGAAAACAAAACACCAAGTTGTCTTTCCTTTAGAGGAAATGTGCAAGTCAGTCATGGAAAGCAACATTTTCAAAGCCAGCAGTGAATGACAGATATGTGGTAGAGAAGAGTTGTACACCGAATTGGGAATGGATCTGGGGAAATTCTGAGCTCTGCCAAACCACTTTCTATTTTTTTAATTACTTAGTAGGAAAGTCATCCTTAATACATACTAAGAATACTCACAAATTTGTAAGGCCATCAATCTAATAGAAAAATTGATGAAGAACAAAAAATTCATAGAAAAAAATTCTAAGCTCATTAGAAATTTGAGATACAAATCAGATCAACTGTGAAATATTTTTGCTCTAAGAGGAAGTTATAAAAAAGAAAAAAAACTTTGCTAACCCACTACTGGTGTCAAGGAGAAACAAGCACTTGCTACAATTGTTATTACTAAAAGTCTATAATTTCACTTTCACTTCATCTTGATTCCAAGATCATTTGTTAGTTTCATAAGACCTTAAGCAAATTATCAGACACCCCATATTCAAGACTGATTCCAAGCTCTTCATATGTTTCATGCTGGCCACAGACACCAACGGAAGCCATGCTACACGTGATAAAAACAGGATATGAGAATTTCTCTGTACAAACCAGGGTCTATTTTAGGACAAACCAGGACTCTTAGGGAATAATTACAATGTCAAACCCTTTATGTTGCATTTTCTTATGTTAAAACCCACCTTATCCTCAAAACTTTGTAAGGCAAGGGGTCTGTATTTTCATCTTAATAGAGAAATAACCTGGGATGCAAGGTTGTTGAAATTCATATTGTGGGTGATTCAAATCCAGAAAAATCCATCATTATAGTCCCTGCTCTAAAACAAGGCAATCAGAAATAATGTGTAGATCCTTCTTCCTTTCTCTAATGATGAATACAACAAGGAATTGGCAACTTAAGCTCCTGGAATTTTATAAGCTGCTTTCAACCTATTCCATAACTGAAATAAATTTTACCTGGTACTTTCAGTTATAAGCTATCCTGTACTTTCATACTCCAGGATGCCCACCCCAAAGCAGGGAAAAGTTGCGGGAGGATCATAATAGAGTTCAGTCCTTCTATGAGGAAGATAGCAGTTATCTGAATAATGTTTATGGTAACTAACAGGAGAGCTGCCATTGACATCAAATGTAAGAAGGCATAGTATGAGAATATATCACTAAGAATGAATTCTACAAATTTAAAACATATCAGACACTGAAAATTAATTTAGTCACATAAGTCAGTCTATGAACTGACCATGCATCATTTATTAATTTCATAATCCACAAAGATGAGCTTCCCACTTGACCTACACCATTCTTTTAAGAACTACAGGCAGAACAAGTGTGATTTTGTAGTGGTAAAATGACAGTGTCAGCTACAGCAAGCAAAAAATTTTTATTAATGATCCCAAGTTTTAAACCCCAAAGGGCTTCACAGTCAGTGATGAGACATACACAGCACTGTACATGTGATTACTTATGGGCATGAAACTTTAATTAAAAGTTAAAGGTTCAGACCTTTATAGATTGGATAGAGAGAAAGGATGGGAGAGGAGGGGAGGAGTAGGGGGGATAGGAAAGGCAGCAGAATAGAATAGACAATATGATTTATGTATATACATTCCATGTATGTATTATACGTCATGTATGACTAAAAAAATGAAAATAAATCGTATGGTTAAAAAAAATGAAATAAAGATATTTGTCCACATACAACTAAAAAATAAATACTAAAAAAAAAGTTAAAGGTTAATTATAAATGTGCAAAGAGTACCTCTCTGGCTTCTGGGTGGGGGAGAGATGTGAGATGTGTCTGGGTCTTAGGAGGAAGACAGATTAAAGGGGAAATGCAGTTATTCAGGAAGTAGATAATATTCTGCTAAGAATCTGGCTCAAGGTATCTGGGAAGAAATTTGAATAAGGAGACTGGGTGACTACATCCAGATGAAAGATTCTAAATGCTATAGTAAGCAGTTTCTACCTTAAACCACAAATAGTGGGAAGTCATGGCTTTATATGACAATGGCTTTACATTCATTCTTGTCCTAACAAGGGATCTGAAATAACATACAAAAAGATATTCAAGGGGACAAAATAAGTAGATGAGGTCATCAAATCACAGGAAGAATAAAGATAGGAAAATAAAATCTGAGAAGAGATTAGTACCAGAAATCAAACCACAGGGGACTACATTTGGTTTTAAGTTTATTAGCAGCCAAAACACAAAGGTGTTTCAGAAAGAACTTCGGTGGCACTGGCATAGGGGGAATGTTTTGTGGACAGCAGCCATACTGGATCTTAACCCTTCAGTGGTGATTAGAGGTGAAGACTGATGATATATGTACATATTACAGGGCTTAACTTTCTATTATAGTAACATGGATAATATAAAAAGTATACATCAATTTGACTTCAATAAAGACATTCTCATTACTGAAAAAAGAAAAAACTCAATTCCTTTATTTGCCCTTTCTCTTCACTGAGAGTACTAGCAAGCAATGAAATGAGTTACAATTAGATATTAAGAGAAAGAGGTGGGAAAAGGTCTAGTGGTACCTTCTGTAAATTGGGTTAAAAAGATCAGTTGGCCTGATGCACAAGAAAGATTCTTCCATCTGTAGTAGCTACACACAAAAGTTCATTTCACTAAGCCAATTTGTTATATAGTCAGTAGAAAGCATTCTAACAATCTAAGAGCATGGTACTTTTACAAGTATCTCAACTTTAGCTCCATTAATGTTTGGAGCCAAAGAATTCTTTATTCTGGGGAACTGTCCAGTGCATTACAGAATGTTTAGCAGCATACCAAGTTTCTGTGCACTAAATGCTAGCAGCATCCCCCAACAAGTTGTGATAACTAAATGCTTTCACATGTTGATGAGCATCCCCTGTGGGTCAGAGTTGTTCCTGGTTGTGAATCACTGATTTTAAATAATGATTCTCAATTGGAAAAGCACAACAGAATTATCTTTGGAACTTTTTAAAAATTAAAAATTATCCAGTTCCCACTAGGTAAATGCTGACTCAATAGATCTGTGGTGGTCTAGAATTTGCATTTATATCAGAATCTTCAACATGTTGGGCTTAGGCATATATTTTTCAAATACTCCAGAACCATTTTTTCATGTCTGATTAACAATCATTCTGCTAAAAAAGCACTTTCATAATAAACTTCCTGATAGTACTAATGAATAGGATTTGAGTTCTATGTAAGTCTATTTTATCATATAAGTAATGGAGATTTCCAGTCATGTAAATCACATTCCTACTTACTTGCTAGAAGCAGACAGGAAAGCGCAACTAAATGCAGCTGCTGGATAGAGATGTCATAGCGATCCATAAACAGGTCCAGCAAATAGACAGCAAGATGTCGGGCCGAAGGGCAGAGTGTGAAGCGATTGCTCACAATGGCAATCAAATCAGCAAAATACCTTCTGAGACTTAGTTGAGGGGACTGGCCTTTGTAGGAGGGCAACTTCAGCTCCTAAAGCAAGAAGAACAACACTTAGTCTGACATAATATGTAGAAATACCCCCACATAGTCTTTCCAATATATTAGTGTTACAAGTACGTCCAAAACACACTTTTCCTAAGAGGAACACAGAAATGAAAAAAGGGAGGATAATAAATGGCATTTAAAAATTAATCTGGTTAAAATAAAAGTTTTCTATTTATTCTTAACGACCTCTGACGTGACCAATTTTAAGTGTTTCTTGCTTTATGGAATGGATACATTCTACAAAGATCTTTAAAAAGAGAATTGTATTTTCAAAAAAATGTGTCCTTGCCAAAAATCTAACCATCACACACACACACACCCCTGAGGAATCTCAAAACTTTTCTTAAGAAGGTGGATATGTTCCTGGTATGCTGCATATCATGTTATACTTGCAGAGATCTAGAGACCAGTACTCATCCTTAGTATTTTCTAATCTCATGTCCTTTTCAGCAGTTTTATGATCTTCTTTTGCCTAATCTTTCTTTTGCCCTTTATATACCTAAATTTTTCCCATCATCAGTTTTTAATCTTAAATATTATACCAACTAGTTTTTCAAAAATTGGAAAATATATACTAGTAAAATATTTCAGGAGCATAGAAAAAAGTGGAAAATTTCCAAATTCATTTTATGGATAAGTATAAAACTGACACTTAACTAATAGGTACTACAATAGCAGGAAGTAACATGGATATGATACCAAAAGCACAGGCAAAAAGAAAAATGTCCAGTCCCCAGAGTGAAAGGGCAACCAACAGAATAGGAGAAAATGTTTAGAAATTATATATCTGACAAAAGATTAATAGCCAAAGAACTATTACAATTCAACAGTAAAAAACTAACCCACTTTAAAAATGGGCAAAGGACTTGCATAGACATTTCTCCAAAGAACATAAATAAAAGGCCAAGAAGCATATGAAATGATGCTCAGCATCATTAATCACTAAGGAAATGCAAATCAAAACTATTCAAAAAAGGAAGAAAAATAGAATTAAGTGTTAACAAGGATGTGGAGAAACTGGGACTCTTGTACAATACTAGTAGGATGTCAAATGGTACAGTTTACATCCATATTATCATGGATAATGGTGGCAGTTCGTCAAAAAAATTAAATAAATAATCACCAAATGATCCATCAATTGCACTTTTAGGTATATCCAAAAGAACAGCAAGAAGGGATTTGAACAGATATTTGTACACCCACATTCATGTCACCATTATGTATAATAACCAAAACATGAAAACAAACAACCCAAATGCCTACTGACTGATGGATACATAAAATGTGGCATTCACAATGAAACATTATTCAGTATTAAAATGGAAATTCTGATAAATGCTACAGAGAAGACAGTATGCTGTTGGATTATAAAGAATAATTATTTTACGGTTCCACTTATGTGAAGTACTTAGAATATTCAAATTTGTAGGGACAAAGCAGAATAGTGGTAACCAGGGGCAGAAGGGTGAGGGTGGAAGATTGGGAAATTACTAAGTATGGAGTTTCAGTTTACGAAGATGAAAAAGTTCTAGAGGGGACAGTGGTGACAGAAGCAAAACAATGTAAATGTACCTAATGTTATTGAACTGTCACTTAAAAATGGTTAACATGGCAAATTTTATTACATGTACATTTAATAATACATGAAAACAGGGAAGTTACATATAATCTAATATTTTCTAAGATTAGATTAGTATCAAAAATGCATCATCATAATCAGCTGTAATACTTCTCATGAATACAAGGACTGTTTGGTATTAGGAACTGTAATTCACAAAAAAATTCATACACAAATATGCACAATCATCTTGACAGATACCACAACAGCATCTGAAATAAAAGTGACCCTGGGAAAAACAGAACAAATGTTCATACATATCTTTAATGAAGGAATGGATTGGATGGAGGTAAAACGGTATTGAATATAAGAGCCTGCATCTCACTTGCAGGTGAAACAATAGAAGGATTACCAGGCTAGTGCCTATGATTGCAACATTACCTAACCAATTCAGATAGAAAAAAGTGAAGGTATACTTATTGGAAAGGAAGAATCATAAATTATTCTCATGAAACAAATTATTATTTTTTAGATGGCAGAATTTGTGTCCAGAAAACTCAAGAAAATCACAGAAAAAATAAAGAGAAACAGTAAGATTTCAGTAAGATGGTTGATTATAAAATTAAAACAGTTTTTCTATACAATCGAATACAATATTTCACATGAGTATCTATAAAAATAAAGACCAAGAATAGATTTACATATGCCAACACTGTATGAAGATAAATTTGGCTGGTTGAGGTGGCGCATATCTGTAATTCCAGTGACTCAGAAGGCTGAGGCACAAGGATCACAAGTTCAAGGCCAGCCTGGGCAACTTAGCAAGACCCTGTCTCAAAAGATAAAAAGGACTGGGGATGTTGCTCAGTGGTAAACAGCCATGGGTTCAATCTGTAATATGAAAAAAATTTAAAAAAGATAAAAAATTGATAGGTGTGGAGGACTTACATGGAAAGATGTTCTTGGACAGGATAAGATATATGAAAATAATGGCATTTCAAATAAGGGGAGAATAGATATATTTAATAAATATTTCTGTTAAATATGATGAAGAACTAATTTCTTACTGTTTAGAGAACTCTTACAAGTAAATCAGTAAGAAAAAGACAACATATGAACCAAGATCATAGGAAAAATACAACAGGACCAAAAATATATAAAAAGATGTCAGATCTTATTCAAATTTAAAGCATTATGTAATTGTTTACTTTCTAGATCAGGTTTTATCAATTTTTGTTTATGCTATTGAGAGAGAAATAGTAGCTCTCACATACTATTGATCAGATTGACAACTATTGGAGAGTAATTTGTAATAGATAATTTTTTAAAAAGTACAAATGCTTTTTAACCTAAAAACTCTAATCCCAGGAATATATTATATATAGCAAAAAAAGCTTGATGCCCAACAACCACAATGGATCTCCAGAAAATTATGCTGAGTTTAAAAAGTTAATCCTGAAAGGTCACATATTTTATAACTCTTATTTATATAACATTCTTGAAATGACAAAACTATAGAAAGAACAGATTGGTGGTTGTCAGGGGTTAAGAGAGGGCATGAGGGGCTAGGGTTTAGGGCCAGCAGTAGAGCACTTGCCTGGCACACGTAAGGCACTGGGTTCGAGCCTCAACACCACATAATACATACATACATACATACATACATACATAAAATAAAGTTAAAAAATTCTTTGTTAAAAAACTCTTTTTAAAAAGAGGGCATGAGATGGCAGGGGAAGGGTATGCTTTTTATAAAAGGGTAACATAAGATACACCCTTGTGATGATGGAAAATATTCTACATCTTGGCTACGTCAATGTAATTACCCTGGTTGTGATAGATGATTATAGTTTTTCAAGAAGTTACCACTGGAGGAAACTAGGTAAAGGTAATAGGGGATCCCCCTGTACTATAACTGCATAGGATTCTACAATAATCTCAAAATATAAAGCTTAATTTTTTTAAAAAAGTGTGATGTCTATTAATAGGGATCTAGTTAAATAAACTATGGGATGTTGATGCAATGTAGCATTTAAAATAAAGGTCAATAGACCTAGATAGGTTGATGTGGAAAAACCTCATAAATTGGGGGTGGTATGGCAGGAAGGTACAGAATAATGAATATATGTTATGACCTCTGTAGGAACAACAAAATATTATATTTTCAGATATACTGATTTACTAGGTATCTTCAAGGAAAAAGAACCTTAAGAGGATCAAGGCAACACAAGCTGGGTGTGATGGCACACACCTATAATCCCATGACGAAGGAGGCTAAGACAGGAAGATTGCAAGTTCAAGGCCAGACTGAGAAACTTTGCAAGATTCCATCTCAAAATAAAAATCAAAAAGGGACTGTGGGGTTTAGCACAGTGGTAAAATGCCCTGGGTTCAATCCCAGTACCACACATACACAAATATATAATAATAGAAATAATAATAATAATAGCATAAACAAACACTACTGAGAAAATAATTTTCTCTCAATAAAAGGAACATGCTGGTTTCTCATATAGCTCCTAGGATTCTTCCTTTCTCCTTCACTATTTCTATAGATTTTTAGAATGGTGTAAATGAGTTGTAACTTTACCTTTCTTTGCTGCCATCATGTGACATATATTGAGCATCTCCCTTGTAGCAGGCACTGTGCTAACCCCAGGAGAAAAGCTGGAAAAACAGTCTCAAGCCTCTCTCTAGCAGGTGAATCAAAATACAGAGATCATTATAACACAATATTATTATAATCACAAGGTATTATGATATTATGAGTACACTGAGAAAGGCTAACTCAGCTCAAGGAGTGAGGAACTGGGAAAAAATAAAGCCAGGGTAGGTTTTCTGGAAAAGACATACTAGGAAACACACCTTCAAAATGCTAGAGGGGTTTATTATTAGCAATGTTAACCTTACAAACTTAAAAAAAAAAAAAAGTCAGGAGGGGCTCTGGATGTAGCTCAGGGGCAGAGTGTCTGCCAAACACACATAAGGACTTGGGCTGGATCCCTAGCACTGAGGGAGAGAGGGAGGAGGAAGGAAGGAAACCTAAGGGCCATCAAGACAATTTTAAATAACGTGTCCAATATATTCTCTTTTAAGTTTTTTTAAATGGTAAAGCAGAAGTGCTTATCACATAACCAACAAGAGTCTGTTCTTGTCTAGGTATTGCAGTTATGTAAACATAAGAAAATGACAATGTTTTTCTCAACTTACAGGTTTCCCCTGCTGTCTATTCCCAATCCCTCAGAATTGAACACTCTTATTCTTGCTTCTCAAATGCCATTCCCTTCCCACACAGGAAGGAAATACAGGCTTAAAAGAATACTCAGAATTTTAACTACAATTCTACGGGGTAAATATTTTCTAAATGTTTCTCACAAAGCTACAATTTGAGAACTGTCATTAAGTCTTCTAAAAATTCTTTCCCAAACAACTATGACACTAAATGCAGCAAGAAGATGAGAAGAAAAGGAGACATAAGCATCTGAGGAGACATGTTGATTTGTAGGTTTTTTTGAGTGGTAAATTGTGTTTTATAAAAACTGTCTAGTTGGCATTTAGGGTTGAAGAGGATTTCTAGTCACTGTATTTCACTCTTCCCTAGAAGAAATAATGCTGGTCACATTGATTATTTCTCTACAAACCTTGGGTCTAAACACAGAACATCTTCCAGATTATACAATGGCAACACCCCAAAGAAAGACCTAAATTTGGATGTTCTGACTTATGAAAAAAGATTGGATTCTATGAAGGTGGGATGTTTGTGTCTCTCAGTTACTGCTCCAACTGGTATGGTACTCAGCATGTTCAATACAATAAGCAGATGACTATCTAAGTAAATCATCAACTAACAGCCTGAATTTAACTTGTCTTTTTTTTTTAAATTCATTTATTTATATGCAGTGCTGAGAATTGAACCCAGTGTCTCACATATGCTAGGCAAGCACTCTACCACTGAGCCACAACCCCAGCCCGTAACTTGCTTTTCTATAATAAAAATTCATTTTAACTTCCTTGACTTCAGCCCAGGATAGTGTGCCACAGATGGCCCAAGACACCTTCAGTGGTATTCCTTCAGACCCTGTGCTATCTTGTCCTATGACAGTTCATTAGCAACTTGAGTGCAGGGCTGTCTTATTCTTTGGCTCCTTCAGAGACTAATGCACAAGAGCATTCAACAAACTCAGATTAAAAAAAAAAAAAAAACTACTTCTAAATTCAACTGACAAAACAAACTCAGATAATCACGCATGATTAAAATTATCTACACATAAAATACAAGAATTGAAAACCATGAGGGATCACCAAGAAAAATCTTAAAAGTTTTGGTCAATTAAAAAATATAAGTATCATTTACAAATGATTAATTTCACCACATACAAGAGGGATTAAAAATCTAACCCTTAGAAAAGCACATTTCCAACTAAAAGATGACATCTGCCAAAAGGAAAAAAAAAATTAAAAGCGTATCCAGACAATTTTCAAAGAAGAAAACCTGCAACTCTTCTTAACCCTCCAGAGAACCATCCCATAGTTGGAACTTTTTTATGCAATAAAAATGCTCTCTTAGGGGGCTGAGTTGTATTCAGGGTAAAAGACTGAACATCGAAGTAGTAAACAGCATTTAGAAACCTAGAGCTTTAAAAACATACAAAATTCTAAGAATTTAAGTCAATTCGATTTTTTTTTCCAATCTACTTAGCGTCTTCAGGGACTTAAGATAAAAGTTTGTTATCATCCCAGAATCTCTCAAGTCCAATGATCAGAATCCCCTTTATTAAAAAGCAGGCTGTTTTGCTTCTCACTTTGGTTCTCTCTATCCAAAGTGAAAGTGAGTTAAACTAGAGATCATTTTGGATCAGAAGTTATACCTTCTGGTTATCAGAAAGGCAGAGCTGTCTATTAATCTGTTTTGTAAAATGCACAGTAAAGTTATTTAAGAGCTGTGATACACAGATTTTGTGCCCAGAAAAGTGTATTTTTTCAATATCTGTTAAGTATATTAGGTCTTTCTACCTTTAATACTAAGCCTTTTTGAACAGTCCCAAATCTTAAGAGGCAAGTAATAATAACAGTTTTTACTTGGGCTAACTATATGCCAAGCACTAAAGCCCCTATACAATACATTTAAATTTCAAAATCACCTAATAAGGTATGTTCTACTGTTGTTGTTATTGTGATGCGGATCACCCAGGGCCTCGCTCAAGCTAGGCAAGTGCTCTACCACTGAGTTATACCTTCCACCCCACATTCTATTATGATTATTCCTCACTTTACATGTGGGCAAACTGAGAACCAGAAAACTAACTAGCCCAATGTCTCACAGCAAGTTAGATGAAAGCATGGGAAATTTAGATATGTACAAAAGAGACTTACAACAGCGGCATGCAGAACCAACTATAGAACAATTAAGGCTGCTTTGCCCAATAAAAACTCAAGAGTGTATGTATTCTGAAATACACGATCAAATTCATGGTCCATCTGGAGACAAGAACATCCACTTTTCCTTTCCTAAGCCCTCGCATCATTTAAGTTGCAGGTTATTCTGATATAGCCCAGGGACAGAACGAATAAGTTAATTAACCTTGAGCAAATAAGCGAACTAGGGTTTTCTGGCCTGGAAGACCTGGACTTTCTGGGAACTTCGAGGTTCATTTTAACTGGCGCAAGACCCCAAATGGCAAGGTTGAGAACCAGTGTTACCTTGTACCGAAGCGCTTGGTGAATATCAGCAGCCAGTTGTCCTCGCCACCACTGCCCCTCCAGCTCCATGAGACTCGGCGGCGCGCCTAGCCAGACGCGGCAACTTCAGTCTGGAAGACACGCCCCAGACGCGGTCACTGCCAGCAACTTCCCCCACGACCCTCCGCGCCCCCTCCCTGAGGGGTGTGACCTCAGCTACCCTGTGCGGCTGTTGGTCTTCACCTCACTCGTCCTAAGCCTGGGACGCACCCAAACAGTTCCCAGATCCCACGCTTAAGGCCCGTCCTATGCACTCAGGAGGAGCTAGCTTATTTAGGGAACTGCCCAACTAGTTTCAGGGAAAGAGGGAGATCAACTCGGACCCCGAGCTGCCAACGCACAGACCTGGCCGCAAGCAGGGCAAGAGCCGGGGCGGGAGGCCCGCCTTCGGACTCCCGGAGTCCCGGGTTGAAACGCTCCGAGGAGCGGGTAGACCTGACACCAGTCCCAGCCCCGCTAGGGTGCAAAGTTCCCTCCGAGAGGCCAGGAACGAACGTCCGCCGGCCGCAGAAGGCCGGGCGCCCGCTCCTCCCCGGGATCTGAGGAACCGCGCGGACCCTGAATGGCGAACAAAAGGCCGGGCCGGCCAGGATCCGCGCCTCGCCCCCGGGACTGGTGCCCGCGCCCAGCCCAGGCCTGCTCGGCCGCACCGCGGCTCTCTTACCCGGAACCGCGGCCTTCACAGCCCCAGCCCCGCCGGCGTGCGGGGGACCCCGGCCCCGCTCATGCTGCGGACAGTCGGCAGCGACGCGCGGGCCTCAGCTCGGGCCCAGCGCCGGGGCGCTCCCGCCGCCCATTGTTAAAGGACCGGCGGGCGGCTCGGCGTACAAAGCCAGCGCGGGGGCAAATGCAGTCCTGCACTGCCAATCTCTTCTCGCGATACAGCGGGGTCACCCCCAGCCGTCCAATCGGCGGCCAGGCCGGGCCCAGGTGCTACGCCCCGCAGCGGCTCCGCTGCTCGGCAGCCCCCGCCCGGGTGCTCACGGCGTCCCGGGCGGCTCGGCCCGCTCTCGTGCTTTGGGCCTGGAGCCCGTCCTTCACCTTCTTCGAAACCGGCTTGAGACCGGATCCGGGTCGGTAGAGAGCGCCCGAGAAATTTTAATGTTGACCATTAGGTGACCGATCTGGTTAAGCCACTCACCTGCTGAGAACGTTCGGTGCCCCGCGTGCAGGCAAAGGAAAGTTCGGACGCCTTATTCTGGCGATTAAAGCCCTTCACAGCGTGAAACCAATGGGCCCTACCTTAGATTGCTACATCCTAGGGGATGCTCGGGATCATCAGGCCTTTTAAATGGGTTTTAGGTGTTTCCGTAATCTCTAAGGTGTTATCTCCGTGAGGTGTTCTACCTCAAAATCCACTCCTCTTTTAGAAACCTAATTAATCCTATCCTTCGCCTTATTTCTTTGCTTTAGAGATTCCCGAGAACTTTTCAAGAAGGGAATTAACATTACCTTCAATAACCTAGCTTGTCAAATCCATAGAGGATGTAATTAACCATCTGTGGTAGTAAATCAGGAAACTCAAAACTGGAAACACTGCAACATCAATTAAGGGGTGCTGGAACTGAAATGTGATTAGCAGAAACCAAATCAATTGTTATTTTCACGTTTGGTGGACTATCACAAAAGAAGGTCAGCTTAAGACAGATCTGCACATAATAAATCAGACTCTTAATACTAAAAAATTATGGGACCCACCACTTTTGCTTTTGAATCCAAAAAGACTCAGGATGATAAAGAATTACTACAAAGTGACGAATGGACCTTCTGTGAATCTGAGGTTTGTCACAATGGCAGAACAGCAGCAGACCATACGATTAGACAGCTGATCATAGACAATGTTTATGCCCAGGAGAACAGGGCAATAGGAACCAATGTCAAGAAAAGGGAAACTCAGAAGTGGAAGTTGGCATAGCCTGTCAAAGTCCAGGGAGAAGCTGCCTGACATATCTCAGGAAAGGACACATAAGGATAAAATCTTACCATTTTTTTTAACGGCATTTAAATAGTACCCACCTCCTTAAGTTTCCAATTCCTGACTTCTAAGCAACTTTATGACAATAATTTGGCCTACAAATGACTTAAATGTCCAGGGCCTCCTTAAGAACTTTCAGAAAAAGGGGTCACAGGCTATAATCATCAGTGTAATAAACAGGTTGTCTTTCCTAGTTTCTACTTTGAAGAGGTTATTCATTAGAAAACATTGTTTTATAGTAAGGTGGGGTGTGCAAAGGACTGAGGAAGCATGCAGATATCTGGTGGTTGAATATTCCAGGTAGAGGGAATGGCAAACGCAAAGGCTGTAAGGAGAAAGCATGTTTGGAATGAAAATGGAGACTGATTTCTCTAGCTGGAGTGAAGAGAAGACAGGAAAGATTTCCAAGTTTAGGAAGCAATGATCAATAAAGGTACAAAAGGATGGAAGTGAAAAAGACAGAACATCTACATTAAGAGCAGAGAATGGAAACTGTAGAGTCCAGTGTGTCTGCAGTAGAAGACACAAGTGGATTTGGCAAGAGATGGGGTGTGGTCAGAATTTCTGGAGAGCTTTTGTAACTCACTGAACTTTACTCAGTGAAAAGCCACTTTTTTAAATTGCTTTTTTTTTTTAAACAAATGCATGCAAAATATAAAACATTTAAACAGTATTAGACTGTACACAATGACTAGCAAATCTCTCACTCTCCTGATCCCAGTTCTTCCTAGAGGCAACACTATTACTCTTTTGTACTCTTCCAGAAATAATCCAGGTCTTTATAAACATCCATGTGTATGGCCCCTTTACCCCATTTTGTGCACAAATGGTAGAACATTACAATCTATGTTGTGTACCTGTTTTTGTCATATAATATATTCTGGTGAACATTCCATGACTGAACACCCAGGATTCCTTTTAGTGGCTACATTGTGCTCTAGTGAATGTAAAGACTGGTATCCAGAAGCCCTTTCTCTGGTTCTTGATTCGTTGTGATTTGTACTGTTAATCTCACTGAAACTACTATTCATATTAACATCCTTGCTTAAGGCATCATTGTCTTATTGTACTCCTCCTGTCCTTCTCCAAGAAATTTAACCCTAGCATCTGGGGTGGTTATAAAAAAGGCAAATTACACCTATTATATATTTATTTTTGTGGTGCTAGGGATCAAGCCTAGGACCTCACACATGCTAGGCAAGGGCTGTACCATTGTATACTCCCACTTGATAGAGAAGATTTCCTGGGTCACTTTTCCAAACCACTTTAGCATAACATAGAATGTTAAGAATACTTTCTAGGGCTGTGATTGTATGTTAGTGGTAGGGTGCTTGCCTAGCATGTGTGACGCACACTGGGTTCCATCCTCAGCACCACATAAAAATAAATAAAATTAAGGTATTGTGTCTACAACATATATATATATATATATATATATATATATATATATATATATATGTGTGTGTGTGTGTGTGTGTGTGTGTGTGTGTGTGTGCATGCGCACGTGCACATACAATAAAGAAAAAATAATACTTTCTAAAGCTATTTTTAAAAATAGGGTCTAGAATTTGTAGGTATTTATAATCAGTTTACCAGAAAGTGTTCCAGAATTCAAAATGCTACATGAGATTCTATTCCAGATAAGATGGATATAATAGTTATTTCTATGTGTATACTTCAATGGGCCATAGTGTACCCAGATATTTAGTCAAATACTTTGAGGGTGATTTGGATGGGATTTGATTGGGACATGTTGACTGTCCTAATCTCTAGCTTGTTGACAGAAGATTTTGGCCCTTCTCGGTCTCCATGATCATGTGATCTAATTTTTCTTTTATATCTTCACATTTACATATATATATATATATATATATATATATATATATATATATACACACATCTACATACACATACATGCATATATATGCACACACATCCTATATGCACACACACACGTGCATGCACGTGCACATACACACATTCTATTGGTTCTATCTCTGGAGACCTCAAATACAACAGATTAAACAAATTTTTCCCTTTCTTTCTCAATGAATGTGGCTATAAAACCTGGACAGGTTAAAAAGTAAATAATAGCAGATGACTAGGGTAGACCATAATTTGAAATATCACCAAACTGGTGGTGAATTACCCCGTTCTTTCTCCAGGATCCCTAGCTTGAAATCCAGAAATGGCAACCAGAGCATGGGTGGAGAGAAAGAAAACACTAGAATCCCTTCAGTCATGAGGAATGGGAAAGTAGCCTCATGATGCTCACAAGTTGAGGCAATATCCTTCCTTCTTTCTTTCCCCTTTCCTTCCCTCCCTTCTCCAGCCCCCAAGCAATCCTGTTGCCAGAATAAAATGTCCCTGCTGCCTGCTGCTGGAATACCAGTCTTCAGGAGATGAGCTTTGATAGGAAAGAATCATGTTTATTCAAGGGCCACCAATCTTGAGAAAAGACGGACTTTTTTATTGCCTCAAAGCTCCATCTTGAGAGGGCTCAGGAATGAAAGGCTTTTGTTGGGAGGAAAAGGAAGTAGAGTGAATAGGAAGTCTACAGGCTCCGTGGGGGTTGGGGGGTGTCTTGGTCACCCACCGAGGGGTGTATTTCCTTTCTTCTTCTGTGGCCAGGATATTGCTATGGACTTTCCTGCAGCTAGTCAGGAAAAACCTAAGGAAGGGTTTTTCTTTAGAAAAAAAAAAAGATTAGGGAGGAGTGAAATGGCAAAAGGGAGGGCAGGGGAGCAAGGGACAGTTTTAAAGGTGCTTTTGTTACATCCTGCAGTAGATGTAGTGGTAGCAGCACAGCAGGGGTAAGGGGAGGATGCAGAGGTGCCTAAAACTCAAGGGAGAAGAGATTCCTCTCTCAAGAGAACAGCTGTGGTTGCTTTTTCCCCTCTTTGTCCTTCCACAACTTCAGTCTGGAGTAGGTACCAATATCAAACACACCAGCTTC